CACTAAGGCTGAGATAAGAGGGTGTGATGGATTTAAAAAAAAAGTTGATTTACATGGTTGAAATTAAATTTGTTAAGTATGATCAAATTAAAAATGCTTTAAAATCATACAAATATCACCAAATATGGTATGAGACAAAAAAGAAAAATGAGACAATCATAGTGAGATGGAGAGAGTGGTAGCTTTAATCGCATTTTTATCCATAAATTTTAATTCAATAATACTTTATAAAAAAAACTTAAATTCACCATATTCATCATTTTTAGTCTATCACAAATTTGTCTCTCTTTTTAAAAAAGTAAACTATCATATGTGTAGAGCCAAATAATTTGTTGTTTTAGGAGCAAAGAGAGCACTCATTTTATTTGCTCTTATTTTTATTGTCATATTTTTCTCTTATACATTCCTTGTTTAATATGAAGTACTCGAGTAGATGTTACCTCAAACTTTGTTATTTTCTTTTTGGAAAAGATAACTTAATTAATATTAAAACCGAGAACCACATACAAACATGCCATATCAAAGGCTACACTGAGATGTCATATCAAAGTCACGCTTAATAGCGGCCCAACTCGCTAACCCCGTAATTTGGTTGACTCCATCAACAACACCGCTGCACTTGCTACTAGACTGATAAATAATAGAAGCAAAAAAGTTCTGAGAAATATAATAAGAATAAAAGTAACTAATTCCAGTTTTTCCAGCCACTGGAAAGGGAACCGCGGTTTGACCAACCACCGCCAAAGGTACTGTAAGGAGCTCCTCTCCTCCCCTTCCATCTACTGCATCACAAAGGTTATCTTTCATTGGCTCGAATGGTGCACTCCAATCAGCACCACCACTTGCAAATTTTTTTGGATCCACTTCAACAACTTCCATGCTTGCTTGAGCGTCTGTATCACTAGCCACTTCAATTATCACGTGTTTCCATGGTTCTTCCTCTTGAATAACCACTTCCTTGATCTTTAAGCTTAAGCCTTCCACCATAAAACTGTCCAGGGCTGCCGCCTTTATACTCAAATTACCCAAACTGTCCACATGCTCCCTCCTCTTACTGGGTTTGTTTCCGCTAGGGATCAAACGCATATTTCACAGGTGCATACCACCTCGTTGCGTATCTGCACATAGCCAAGACGCATAAGGTTTCTCTCCCACCCAGGGACCAACATGAGACTTAGATGGACAAATACGACCAACATGGCCAAGAATCCCACACAAAAAAACAAAATTTTGGAAGCCTCTCGTATCTAAAATTTGCCCATATCCAACTGTCTTCTTCTTGTCGGATCTGCAATCTCTGGATCAAAGCCACATTGACATTAATTGTGACTCTTATTCGCAAGACCATTCTTTGTTTCCCCCCTAGAGAGCGCTCATCTACTCGGACAAAGCTCCCTATGCTGTTACCAATTCCACGAGCTGCTTTAGTTGTCATGTACCCTAAAGGTATATTGTGAACCTGCACCCAAAAGTCTGCACGATCCAATGACACTTGAAGAGGCCTATCAGTATGCCCTAGTCTTTTTTACCACTACTAATTTCTGTTCAAAAGACCAAGGTCCCTCCTCAACAACTCGACTAATATCGCCATCATGATAAAATTGGAGAAGAAACCTGGAAGCACCAATCTCTTCAATGGTCACTCCCCAAATTGGTCGCCAGACCATGGCCATGGTTTCACAAAAAGCGATTGGGTGAACATGTTTATCAATTACCACTCTTGCCATAACCAAGAAACAAGCTCCCCCATTGCCCTTAGAATCACCCCTACCGGGTATGCTCCTAGAACCAAACCTCTATCTTCCTCCTCGGTAATGGTAACTTTACTAAAGGTCTCAACAAGCATATCCAAAATAATAATCAAACCACACAACAAGATGTACAAAAACAAACAAGAGCGGATCAAGAACACAGTTCTTCCACAACACAAACAACAACGAACCAAAACAATAGCTCAAAAATCTTGTGGAAATTTCACGGGTTTGACAAACCCATCAACCAAGCCTAAATACCCTTCAAAACAGAACTAATAAAGATCCACAACAAAGAAGCGCCAAAATAAAACGCCGGGTACCTCATGACCGAAAGCCAAAACAACATAAACAAGAGTGACTAGAATCAACCGTAGAAGGAGAACCTGTTTCCGAAGAGTGGGACTTCGCCGCACAGGATCGAACGATCTAAAATCGGCTTCGTCCCTCGTACGCCGCTAGGATTTATTGGCTACATCGCTCCAGGTTGCCGCTGCTACTCTAAATTAGAAAGTTGATTGATTAATGACAAGGCCGGAGTAAAGCCGGAAGAGCGCCACTTTGTTAATTGTTTTTATCAGAAAAGATTAGATTAGACTAGATATGCGTACATTACCAGACTAGAATCAAAGACATGAAAGAGTATCACGATTATTTAAAAATATGAAATTATGTAACTATACGGAATATCTATGATCAAAGTAAGAATGTATCACACACAAATAGGGAAAAGGGCCAGATAGGCCCTCGAACTTACATAAAAGGTCAAATAAGCCCTTATATAGGAGGCTCTATCCGGCCGTCGCCATTTGGGGCGGTTTCCGGTGGAATTTTTTGATGAATTTTTTTTATCATCTTATTCATTAAGTCTAGTTTACTCATACCAAATTTCAGCTAACAATTCCATCAGGAAGGTATTCAAATGAATTCTTGAAGATAACTGCGTAGTTAAAAGCGCAGTTATCCTCAAGAATTCATTTAAACGCCTTCCCGATTGAATTGTTAGATGAAATTTGGTATGAGTAAACTAGACTTAATGAATAATATGCTTAGAAAATTTCATCAAAAAATTCTACAGGGAACTGCCCCAAATGGCGACGGCCGGACAGATCCTCCTATATAAGGGCTTATTTGACCTTTTTATGTAAGTTCGAGGACCTATTTGACCATTTTCCCCCACAAATATTACATACTATATTTCGGTATGAACTTAGTGTGACATGTGAGAAAGAATAAAGGGGAATTGCCCTGAATAGGATTAAAAACGTATGTGTATTCCAAAATAAGACTTTCATAGTTTTATTTTCTAAGTATGAGTAACTACGGCCATGTTTTGACTAGGGCTGTTAATGAGCCGAGCCGAGCCCGAACACCCAAAGCTCGAATTCGGCTCATTAAGGAATTATTGGTGTTCGGGTTCGAGCTCGAAGCTCGGCGAGCTTTACAAATTCGGCTCATGTTCGGCTCGATAGACGTTCGATGTTCAAACCGAGTGCTCGATAAACTCAATAAATATGTCCAAATTTAAAATTTTAGGTGATGCTTGTTATTAGGCTCGTGCTCGAATGATTCGACAAGTATTCAGTTCGTTAATAATCATATTTAAATTCATAAACTCATACTAATTATATTTAAATTTTGAAATATATATAAATTATATTTAAAATTTCAAGGTGTTCGATAGGATCGACTTCGAACCGAGCCGAATATTACTATGTTCGAGCTCGGCTCGATTAATTGTTCGAACTTAAAACTCAGCTCGGGTTCGAGTTTGAAAGCTCATTAAGCTCGGCTCGTTAGGTTCGAAACCGAGCTCGAACTCGAATAGTTCGATAAAAGATCGGTTCGTTAACAGCCCTAGTTTTGACAATGCCAAAGTTTAAACATGATAGTATTTTTCAAACTGATAATAATTACTAGAGAATACGTACATGGCATTAATATTTTAGACTTCTCAAAGTTTTTACTCCTAAATCAGAGATTTTCTCGACTAACTCTACAAAATCACACAATATGAAACATTTTACCGTATTAGACTACTTCAAACCGTGCCAGACTAAATCTAAGCAAATTATAGCCCCTTAGGTATACACTATTTTCTGTTTATCAGACTTATCGAATGACCTTCAAACGATATACATAATTTTTTTTATATCGCGCACTGAATTGTGTCACAATCAAAGTAAGGTCGAAGTTATTTTTCTGGCAGAATTGGTTGCAGTTGCTCTAGATGACCATTTTAACTTGTTTTTCATATAGTTTTTCTTTATTTTATTAAAACTATATGTAGTATATTTTAAACATTATTCGGTCAATATAGCTGCTTCAGTTAGAATTTTATCAATTTCAACAGGTTAATGAGTTGATTCAGTCAATTTCAATGTTATCAAATAAGATCTAAACTAAATTGAAACATAACAAACCAAATTGACTTAGATAAGATTACAATAGAATAAAACATACCAGTATACAATACGTAGTACTAAATAACATCTAAACAGATTAAGACTTTGTTTGCAACCACTTGTGCTTAAATAAAAGCACTTTTGAGGAAAAAGTGATTAGTAGTAAAAGTTGGTAGTGTTTGGTAAAATAAGTGCTTTTTGTGTAATAGAAAAAAGTAAAAAGTAGATTCTACACGGAAGCCGAGAAAGTTAAAGTTGATAGTGTTTGGTAAAATAAGTGTTTTTTCTTAAAAAAAAGGTTAAAAACACTTTTTTTAATGGATTGCAAACAGACCCTAAACCAATTAATCCATCTAGAGCATCTAAAGCATTATGCTAGCTGTCCACATTTTGATGTATACCTTTCGTACACTATCTGTCTCACACACACAGAATTGTCTGTCCACAGACAACTTTACAATTTTGTGTTCACAGATATCTGTGAATAGACAATTCTGTGCGCGTGAAACATATGCTCGTCTACAAAAGATGTATACCAAAACACTAAATTTCGTGTACACATTTTCTAATCTAAATAGGTGGTGTTTACTTATTCAATCCTTTATTGGTAAATTTCGTGTCCCTATAATTCATTCCTAAATTTCGTGCAAAGTTTAGTGCTCCGTAGGAGTTTATTTAGACGAAAAAGAAATGAAGGGAAGAGGAAAGAAGCACGGTTTCTTCTAATCAATAATGGAAGTAATTATATGGTTTGACTTTAGACCGCGTTTTCGCGGATGCACGGTGACTTTTATGCTATACCTCTCCAAATCACAGAGGTTAAATTATTGTCATCAGGCAGATAGATATATACGACGTCTGCGTTCATACTAAGAGCATCTCCAATGCAGTTGTGCATTGGAGCTGAGATGGCAAAGGTGCATTCCAAATCTAGGCCAAAAGTTTAGAGAAAAGTAAGGTCTATTCAAAATCATCTCCAATGCAATTGTAAAACAATAAAATGAAATAAGAAAGAGAAACTAAATAAAAAAAAGGAAAGAGCAGATGCATGGCCGAACAAACTTGGAGGCCCACAAAGTGCTTGGTGTCTTTGTCAGAAGGTGAGACCCAAGGTCTCAATATGGACCTTGCCCCGGACTTTGTTCCAAAATTAAAGTGCCATGTCATCTACAATGCACCCATTTTATTTTGCATTGGAAGGTAGATTTCCACTTTAATTCTACATTTGATGATGTGGAGGTGCAATGCACCTCCTCATTGGAGTTGCTCTAACACGCAATTACCCATTCCATTTTTAGAGAGAGAGAGAGAGAGCACAGTAATTCAGTGAACGAGGATACGGATGGGTTCTCTTCCCTTCCACGTTTTCTCGATTTAAATACCATATTTTCCGTTTTTATTCTGACTCCACAAGGAGTTTTGATCGAAGTTCCAGTTTTTATTCTCACTGCAGAGGAGTTCTCATCGGACTTCTCTCTTGATACTATACTCATTCATCCAGTTTTCGGCGAGGAGTTATTTATCGATTGAATTGAATTTGGAGCTGGGCGGAGATGGGAGGATGTGTGTCCAGGAAGGTGAGCTCCGACGCAGGTGAGAAGAAGAAGAAGAGTCGGAGGAGAAAGAAAGGTGGTTTACAAAAAAAGGCGACCTCTGGTTTATATGATCGGACATCTGATAGAGCTGGCAAGACTTCTCCGCTGGCTCGATCTAACAACAACCCTGGTTCGTATTTATCTTGCTTGTGTATGCTCTTCTTATAATGTTTGCTGGCTGTATCAGTAGACTCTCCATTCCAGAGGTTTGATCTAATGAAACGGAGAGGGATTGATCATTCTTTTTATTTTTAATTTTTCAATTTTTTTTGGTTTGGGGTTCAAAGCTGCGTTTTTGAATGGTGGGTGTAGTTAGAATTATGTCTTTTAGTCGACATATAAGTTCATATGTCACTGTCACAATTTAATGTTTATCTATACGGTAGAATAGAGTACGGGTTCTGCTGGTTTGGGATAGAGTTTGGGATAAAGTTTATCTGTTTGTGGTTGGAATAAGCTCATTGCTGGAAAAACACTTTTGAGAAATATCCTTGGAGTTACGGGGAGAAAGTTCTTGCGGGGGCTATAATTGTATGTAAAAAATGCATGTAAAGGAGGTTTGCACCACGTCAGGTTTTGGTGTTTCAAATCTGGTATTGTACAAAACTATTTGGTTAAGATTGCCTTAGGGCAAAAAGAGTTTTTTCGATCTCAAACACAATCCTAAATGGAGCCTAAGATCATATCATAGATGAGGTAGTTAAGTAGTTTGATGATTGATGCGAACAGTTTTTTGGATACATGGGAACTGAATAAAGTGATGTATAAATTAGCTCTTGAGTTATTGGGGTTTGTGTATACAGTGAATGAACTGAATGCAAGGCCGTGCAAGTAAATATGATCAAGGCCACATATTGGAGTTAATATTTCCCTTCACACCCCTCATGTACCTGATTAAAGCTTACACCTTTGAGTTGTATTCTCATTTATTTGTGCATTAAAAAAGTGGATATTAGGTGATTTGAAATTAGGTAATTTTTTTAAACCATTGGAAAGACACTCGACCAGTCTTCTCTGTGACCCTTAACACTCTACAGTCTGATACATAAGTGATTCAGTGATTGCATACTGTCATACTACGAGAGTTAAACAATTTTAAATTTCTATGCTATCCGGATAAATGAAGGTTAATTTCATATAATGGTCGGTAACAGGAAGTGTTGAAGAAGCATGGTTTGATTCAGTCACCATACTCGAAAGCGAGTGCAGCGATGAAGAATTTCAGAGTGTAACTGATGGTATGTGTTACTGAGGGGTACTGATATTAATCCTCACCTATTAATGGTCTCATTTGTTGATGTTATTTTCTACTACAGATGCTCACTCTCTCAATGGATCTGAATCTGAGCATGTACATAGGCCTGGGAATTCATCTGCTAGCCATTCAGCTCGTAGCTCTGTCAGTGGCAATACCAAACCAAACATTCATCCACACAGTTCTATGCATCCGAAAGATGCTGATTTTGCATTAAGATCTGATGAGGTAAAGCCTCAAATTTGATCATACATCCACATCCAGAAGTACTCCGTAGTGGTACTTTGTAGATTTTCACAATGATTGCTCATAGTTTCTAAAAGTATGTGTACTTCCTGTTGTCTTATTGTTTCCATGCCTATTTTGTATTTAGATCGATTTTCTTCTAATAAATGCTCATTTGCATATGAGTTTGTCATTTGTCTATTAGAGAATGTTCATTTGCTTATGCTTGGTGTATGATTATCATAGTGTGTGTATCTTTAATATGGCAACCAGGTCAAACAACCTGAGGAAATCTCCCCCTTTACAAATGAAAGTTGTACCAGCAGAGGTCATGGCTTGTTGAATGATTGTGGAATCCTTACACATAACTGTCTTCCTTGCCTTGCTTCTGCTGTTGCTCCTATTGAGAAGAGAAGATCAGTTGACTCTAGTCCTCCTCCTAGTGCAAGGAAGAAAGCCGCTTTAAAGCTATCTTTCAAATGGAAAGAAGGACATCATTCCACTCTGTGTGAGTCTTTGTAGTTAATGCTTAGTTTCCTACTTTCCTTTTCATTTTGTCGCACAAGCAGACAGTTTTTTTCTTTTTCTTTTTTTTTTTTGCTTTTTTAGTTAATTACATTTATCTCGATTGAGTTTTGGTCAAATTACAACATCGCACTAGAGGTTTCTGATTATTACAAATAAACCTTTTGAATCATTTTTCGCTCAAATGATATTGAGAGTTGATAGGATCAAATGATATGAATGGAAATTGAGTTTTTTTGGACTATATTACCCGCAATAGGGCTAATGATCCTTTTTCAAAACAGTGATTCAAATATTTTAGCTGATAAAAGAAATAAGAGATGCGAAATTCAATAAGAATACGAACTCAAGTCCTGTTAATATTCTACGTTCTATTAATCTTTCAGTGGTAAAAGGACCGTTTGAGGAAATCTGAATGGGTTAGGGGCTAACTTGTAATATTCAAAAACCCCAAGGTTCATTTAGTAATTTGACCAATTTGTGATTTTGGTAGATGCAGCCTGGTGTAGGCTATGATTTTTCTCTTCATTATGTTTTTAACTAATTGCAAATGCAAAAAGTTGATTTTGGAACCATAGCAAGGTACTGATTTCTTATGCATTGCAGTATCATCCAAGTCACTTCTGCTTAGACCTATAGCCGGTTCCCAAGTTCCATTTTGTCCCTTGGGGAAGAAAATGCCAGACAGTTGGTCTCCAATTGAACCAGGGACATTTCGAATTCGAGGAGAGAACTACTTGAAGTAAGGAATTCCATGCCCCAATATGTCATTCCTTAAAATTGTGCTCTTGCAATTTAATACCATTATGTCACTAACTCTCGTAATTCTTCTTTCCCATTTTGGATTATGTTTTTCTTTGGCAGAGATAAAAAGAAGGAATTTGCTTCAAACTCTGCGGCATATTACCCTTTTGGAGTTGATGTGTTCTTGTCTCAAAGAAAAATAGATCACATTGCTAGGCTTGTGGAACTCCCTATTACTGAACCTTCAGGGATTCTTCCACAAATACTTATTGTGAATTGTCAGGTATAAATTGTAATCTACTTCATGAAATGCTACTATCAACCACAATGTGTTTCTTTTATGTCGTTAGGATTAGATACGCATAAACCTAACCTTGCCATTTGAATTTTAATGCCCTGTTTTAATAGTGTCTGTGCTTGACTAGCCCATTCAGATGGACATTCAATAATTGAATTTGAAACATGGTAGGGTTTGTTTGGATTGAAAATTGAAGGACATTGAATAATTGAATTTGAGAATTTGAAAATAGCCTTCGGGGAGGGCTTAGTTCTTGATATGCATTTTAGATTTATAAAAATTTGAAAGATAACATGATATTTCATCTGATAACATTTCAATAATCTGATAGTTGTTTTCAGTCAACGTTCTATTTATCAAGATATAGACTACGCCCTCCAAGAATCTCATCGTGACAGACCTTTGTGTTTAAGTGCTGAAAAGAAAACAACTAATGTATAATTACTTTTTTTTTATCATGAGAATTTGGTATGGTGAAGTCTTTACCTACTCTAAGACTATGCTGATTACATGCAATTCTCATGTTGCAGATACCATTGTATCCGGCCTCAATCTTTCAAAGTGAAACTGATGGGGAAGGAATACATTATGTTCTATACTTTAAGCTTTCAGAAAGCTATTCAAAAGAGCTTCCATCTCATTTTCAAGAGAGTATTAGAGTAAGTTTGAGCTGCCATAACTTTAGTTGTGTTTTAATCTATTTCCCATGAGGCAGGGTTATGCTTTTCCCATGCTTTTTATACTTCTCATTTCTTTTACTTTATATCTGCAATGATTTTACAATTTGTGGAGTAGTTTCTAAATTAATGTTTACTTTCCCGGGATGTTTCATATCACTTTCATGTTAGTTGACATCTTTGTTATTTATTTTTACATTGAACAAAACAGAAGCTGATTGATGATGAAGTGGAAAAGGTGAAGGGGTTTCCAATGGACAGTATAACACCTTTTCGGGAACGGTTGAAGATTTTAGGCCGTATAGCAAATGTGGACGATCTGCCGTTGAGTGCAGCAGAGAGGAAGCTCATGCATGCATACAATGAGAAACCTGTGCTTTCCCGTCCCCAACATCAGTTTTACACGGTAGGTCATGCCCATAATTTTCTTGTTCTTATAGCAGATTTATTTTTCCCAAATATAATTGCAACATGTCTATAATTGTTTTGCAGGGGGAAAATTATCTTGAGATTGATTTAGATATGCACAGATTCAGTTACATTTCCCGTAAGGGGTTTGAAGCATTTATGGATAGATTAAAGCACTTCAATTTAGATTTCGGCCTCACAATTCAGGCAAGTAAATAATTGCCATTGGAAAATTTATTTATTATGAGATCTTCTACTTTCATTCTTTAATAACAATCGATGCAATGTTTTTTTTGTTAACCAGGGTAACAAACCTGAAGAATTGCCCGAGAAGATATTGTGTTGTGTACGTTTAAATGAGATTGATTACGCGAATTATCAGCAACTAGGCTTGAATCAAGATCTCTTTGAATAGGTGCACAAATTATGTAAACTCCCGGAATCATCAGTGCATATAAAAGTTATTTTTTTTTGCTGCTATAAACTTCCTAATCATCAACCCAAGCTCCCTCACTTTTTTTTCAATCTGCAAAAAGATTGTTATGCCAAAAGACAACAGACTTGTGCGAAAAAACGCTTTTCTGATTGGTGGCAAGCCAGATGTATGTTATGTTCCAAAAGAAGACCAAAACAATAGGGTCAAATTACCATGAGTAATATGACAAAGTTCACTATCAAGTATCAACATTACCATTTACCATGTTCTGTTTGCTTGTTGAAAAAGGGTCAAAATTAACATTTACCATTGACCTGCTACCTCTTCATTTCTTAGTTCTTGGAACATTTATGAGCAATTTTTTCATGAAAACAATTATAGCATTGAAGTGGAAGTTTATAATGTGCCTCCAACTATTAACTATTCTACCATTAACTATTTTAGTAAGGGAGTAAATCCAATTTAGTGTTGCTGTCAACTGTACGAACCCACTTGGGGATGAATGGAAAGATTGAAAGTGTAGTGGGGAAGAGCAAAGACTTGAAAGACCTTTAAGTGAGGACAATTATTGTGGGAATGGTCTTCAAATTTGTCTGTCGGAAATCCGCCAGATGGTCGCAGAAAGATTGTCTGTGGATGGATCTAGGTTACTTTGCCAAAACTACGTTTAAATAGGCACATTTTGCATTTATTTAAAGCCCGATTGGTAACTATGCGTTTTGGCCTTACTTATCAAACAATTTTTCACTGAACACGTAACTTTTGATTTCCACGCTGAATTGCGTAATAATAAGAAAAAGTAATGTTGATACTTTTCTGGCTGTATTGGTTGGAGTTATTGTAGAAAATCATTTTAGCTATTTTTCATATAATTTTTTCTTTATTTTATTAATAAATTGTATACTTCCTCCGTTCCCTTTTAATTGCAACAGTCAACAGTTCACGTTTGCCAACGCACAAGTTTGACCATTAATATCTGTCATTCCTTATTAGTAAAAAATTTAAAAAATTCATTGAAAATTTAGAATGAGAAAAATTTAACAATATTTTTTAAAAATTTAATTTATAGTACATTAATAAATAAAATATAGTCAAAGTAGAATATGTGAATAATGCAAAAAGTCCAATGTTGCAATTAAAAGAGAACGGAGATAGTATTAATTTTTTTCTACATAAATCAGCAGAATCAGCCAATGTAGCTACTTCAGTTAGAACTTCATAAATTTCAACAGAATCAGCCGATACAGCCGATTTGAGTGCTATCAAATGGGCTCTTAATTAATAACTAAGGGCATTCTCATCGGTAGGATTATTATGATATTAACTGGTGAAATGTCGGGTTTTTTAATAAATTATCATTGAGTGACCTGGAATGTTTAATGAGATTATTTGTTAGAATAATCTGGGATTAAAATATGAATCCGGATTATTTTAAGATTATTTGAAAAATATATGTAATAGAGATTAATGTAGGACAAAGAAAAAGAAGATTGCTTAAAGATGATGATTGACACATAAACAAATTTTGAGATTATTTTAAAATTAATTACTCCTTCCGTCCCGTTAGAAGGTTCTCACTTTCTTTTTTTGGGCGTCCCATTAGAAGGTTCCCATTTTCAATTTAGGAAACAATTAACAATCTTAAGTGACACATTAGTCATGAAATATTAAAAATAATACATTTATAACATCACAATTATTAATACTAACACATTATAATATATACCTATTAAAATTATTTCACAAAATATACCCAAAGTAGTTTATTTAATTATCACCTAAATAACCGTGTCATTTTGCTATGTGAACCTTTTAGCGGGACGGAGGTAGTATATGACAATATTTAAATGGTAAGAATCATATAAATAATTGATTATTAGAGCATCTTCATCCATGATCTCTAAATAAAGAGATTTTTTTGTCACGTCATTGCCACATACAAAATCTAAAATAATCTTAAAACTTATTAAATCTCCTCAACCATCACCTTTAATTATGAGATTATTTGTAAGACATTCACCAAAACCAGCATAGATACTACGTACATAAATTTACGCATCATTACTATATTGCACAATTAATCAAAAAGGTAAAGGAAGTTGCCGTAAACTGTTCATTCGAAATACATACTACAATGCCTCTTTCCAATGCTTTTTTTAATGCTTTAAGCTTCATATATAATGTTTTTCATTGATTCACACGAATGAGCAAAAAATTAGGACAAAAATCCCTAAATAATCTAGATTCAATATTTGATACCATAATCTAGATTCAATATTTGATACCAGATTATTTTAAAAAATAATCTTTCCAAATATTCCCTTTTTCTCATTCATAATCTCAAAGAAATCATCTACGTCATCCAATTGCTCCCCAAATAATCTAAACAAGGAGGATGCCCTTACAGATGATAAATGAAGATGCTTTAAGCATAAAAATATAGACAATTTTTGCATTTCGAGATGGAACGAATTGTCCATGATACAAATGAATTGTTGTCACTGAGAAACATAAATTTCAAAGACAAACGGGCTAATTGTCAATGTAACCTAGATCCACCGGCTAAATAGCAATTAGCAAATTGGCCAATTGCATCTATATGTGGAAAAATTAAAGGAGGAAAATGGTAAATCAAAATCAATATTTTCTAAAGGTTTGACTTTGACATATACAACAAAGCTAAAATTTATTTTATTTTAGAAAATTCCATACCGTATAAAATACTACGTATATAGCTACACTACATATTACTTGTATATTTAATTAAAGTGCACATTGGTCCTAGGAGTAAAAATGATATAAAATTCAAGATGTGAGTACTATATTTTCACTTGAATACAAGTAAATTACTGTTGTAACAAACTTATCTATATCCGAGGCTCTAGGGTTGGCTTTTGCTTTTCCGGCGGTGCCTCCTCGGCACGGTGTCCGGCTGTTTTTCCGGCGGTACCTCTAAGGTACGGTGTCCGGCAGTTTCTTCGGCGGTGTCTCTTAAGGCACGGCGTCCGGTTTTTCCTATTTGTTGATGTAGGTTCCTGCAGTTTTCGACCCTCGGCTTCGACGTTGTGCGGTCAGGATGAGCATAGTTAGTTGGAATTGTAGGGGATTGGGGAATTTAGCAACGGTCCAAGGTGTTGTTGATATTGTCAAAGAACTTCGGCCGTCCATCATCTTCCTTATGGAGACCAAAATCTCCTATAGCCGAGCAAAAGAAACCCTTAGGATGCAGGGGTTTTATAACAGCGAAGGCATGGACAGCGAAGGAAGTAGTGGTGGAATTATAATGGGCTGGAATGATGACATAGAAGTTGTGATCAAGGAGAAGCATCAAAATTATGTGGACTGTCAGGTTCGGAGTAGAGAGGGTGAGCTGCCTTGGCGTTTGACTGGCTATTATGCTTACTCGGATACCAGGCGTCGGCGAGAAGCATGGGATATGCTTCGAAGGTTAGTGGAACACAACACGATGCCGTGGATTGTCATTGGAGATTTCAATGATATACTTTACGAATCGGAGAAGAAAGGAAATGTACCACAACCTCCTTGGAGGCTAAAAGGGTTCACGGATGCCGTCAGGGATAGTGGCCTCAGGGATTACCCTTTTGAAGGCTATCAGTGGACGTGGGACAGAGGCAAAGGGAAGGAGTACGGGGTTGAGGCAAAGCTGGATCGTATCTTGGTCAACGACGGTTGGTGGAATTTATTTATGAACGCTCAAGCTATGTCGGTTGAAGCCCCGACTAGTGATCATATGGCTTTGTGGGTTAAAATCAATCGCACTTTGTACGGCAGGAAATCTAGACGGTTTAAATTCGAAAATGTTTGGTTGAAAGAAGATGAATGTCGTACACTTGTGGTTAACAGTTGGACTGCTAGTCAGCACATGACGGTGAATGATAAAATTTTGTTCTGCGGGAAGGAACTGCTACGCTGGGATGCACATTGGCCGAAAGGATTTCGAAACCAGATTGTGGTTTGTAAGAGGCGTCTGGCTTGGCTAAGAGGGAAGGATGATGCTCAGAGCACGGCGGAATTTGTTCATCTCCGCTCGGTGGTTCAAGCTTTGTTGGAGAAAGAAAATTTGTATTGGCAACAATGAGCAAAAGAATTTTGGTTGAGAGAAGGGGACATTAACTCTAGATTTTTCCACAATGCGGTGAAGCAGAGAAGAAGACGTAATAAAATACAGGGACTGCGCTCGGTGGAGGGAACATGGATTACGGATAAAAGAAAGATGGGAGAGATGATGCAGGAGTATTTTGAGTTATTGTTTCAAGAAGGGAGTAGTGTGGTGGCAGATTGGCAGATGGCGGGCTTTAAGCAGGTCTCGGCCAGTCAGAACCGGGACCTTTTGAGAGCTATCAGGCCAGAGGAGGTTAAGGCGGCTATTTTTGACATGCATCCAGACAAGGCTCCAGGTGCTGATGGAATGAATCCGGTTTTTTTCCAAAAATTTTGGGATGTAGTGGGAGCAGATGTAACTCGTCTTTGCACAGGTATTTTTGATCCGGGTTCCTTACCGGAGGAATTAAATGTAACCAATATTGTTTTAATTCCGAAAAATGACAAACCCGAAACTATGGAAGATTGGAGGCCGATTGCCTTATGTAATGTTGTTTACAAGTTTTTTTCCAAAGTCCTTGCAAATAGGCTCAAAGGTCTGTTAGGAGGGTTAATTGGGGAGAATCAAAGTGCCTTTATCCCGGGAAGATCGATAGTTGATAATATTATGGTGGCATTTGAGACCCAACACTATTTGAAGCGTAAGTCTTATGGGAAAGAGGGTTTTGTAGCATTAAAGTTAGATATGAGCAAGGCTTATGATCGTGTTTCCTGGGTCTTTTTGAAGGAAGTTATGAGTCGGATGGGGTTCTGTCAGAAGTGGGTGGATATTATCATGCTATGTGTTTCTACAGTTAAGTATTATATTCAGTATGACAGTGATTTTTTGGGACCTATCATACCACATAGGGGGTTGAGACAAGGCGATCCTTTGTCTCCGTATCTGTTTATTCTGGTGGCAGAAGGGTTGAGTGCGATGCTTCGCAGAGCCGAGAGTAGGGGGGAGGTGCACGGAGTGGCAGTTTGTAGAGGGGCACCGAGAGTGTCACATTTACTTTTTGCTGATGATAGTTTTCTGTTCTTTAAAGCTGCTAGGGGGGAGTGTGAGGCGATTAAAAACATATTACAGGCATATGAGAAGGCTTCCGGGCAGATGGTGAATTTTAGTAAGTCTTCACTTGCTTTCAGTCAGAATGTGGGCGAGCAGTTTAAAGAGTATTGTAGTCAGCAATTGGGAGTTCCGCGGGTGAGTGGGGCAAATCAGTATTTGGGTTTGCCAGCTTTAATAGGCAAAAACAAATATGTCATTTTGGGCTATCTGAGGGAGAATTTTTAACCGCATTAAGAGTTGGAACAACCGATTCTTATCTAGAGCAGGGAGAGCAGTCTTACTGCGGAATGTTATTCAAGCAATGCCAAATTTTGCTATGAATGTTTTTCTGCTGCCAAAGGAGATGTGTGAACAATTAGAAAAACTTATGAACGGCTTTTGGTGGAGAGGTTCCAAGTTTGATCAGAAAGGGCTGAGATGGAGGAGATGGGAAGTGATGTGCAAACCGAAAGAGGAAGGGGGCCTCGGGTTTAGAAGAATTCGGGAATTTAATCTTGCAATGTTAGCTAAACAAGGGTGGAGGTTAACTACGGAAACCGAGAGGGAGCTTAATGTATCGGGTTATGAAGGCCAGGTATTTTCCTTCCTCTAACTTTCTGGGGGCTAAGCTGGGGAATAATCCTTCTTTCATTTGGCGT